TTCAATGCCAAATTTGTTAAACATTACAATTATTATGCTAGTAATACCTATTAAATATATGGCCAGAAACTGAAATCAAATATAAGTAGAAATGGATAAAATCACCCATAATATCCACATTTAGAGTGAACTATGGTTAGTCCTTTGGTGTATAACCTACATTTCTATGTATATAAAAATTTAAGCTCATACTATTAATACCACACTAATTTTCCTAAAACAGAGTTTTGATTATTTCGTGTTCATTCAAACTGGCAGCTTTTAACAAATAAAAAAATGGCATTTGACAACATATAGCCCATTTTACCTTCCTTCAATTTACCCACACAAATCAGTGGTTAAATAAAATGATTATCTGAGCTATCCCTTCAGGAAAAAAAACAAAACAAAACACCAGATTTGGTGTTATTTTCCCCATAACTATACCTTTGCTGAATTGGTCTGAATGATTGGCCTTACCAGCTCGACCTTTTGCTAAATCCTTCAGGGCTTAACTATGTGGTCTTTTCCATGGGCCAGCTTGGATATCTCACCAGATGTGATACCTGCCTTTACTCTGAATTTTGCTTGCCCTTTTTTGGTACCACCCAGCCTTCCTCATCCTACGGTTACTTGCATAATTCTCCTAGTAAAATACAAATTATGTCTCTGTTTGGGAACCTCATATCTTTTGCAGAAACACTTAATACATATTGAATGAAAGAAAGTAATGACAAAAGACCAAGTGGTCTAGCTTAATGAAGAGCTCATACATGGACCCCGAAGTAGACAGTGTACTTAAACCATTAGATTTCTCGTAGGAAATTTGGACAAGTTCTGGATATTATTCAGTTCACAGTAAACTTGCTTTCTCTGTTCTAGTGAAAAAGAGTGCTATAGTTTCTGGGCTCAACATTTAGGGAGACGAAGAACAAGCTTACGTGTGCCAATCTTAAAACTGTCACAAGGCTTCTACATCAATTTGAAAACAAGGTTGCCAATACATTCAGATTTTACCCATGAAATTTCCTGACATACCCAGGAGATTTCCAGATAGTAAAATTCCATCTGTTGTCTTGTTTTCTCTCTGATAGCTTTTTAAGCAGTTTGATTTATTTTTTATTGAAATTTTAGTAATATTTTTACACTACTGAGAATTTAAGTAATTTTTGTCTTTTTTAACAGATTGTTTCAGTTTTTCTTCCTCAGAAAACCCAGTCTTTAAGTTTTGTTGTTTTCTAGACATAAATAAACTTCACTGTCAACATTACCACCTAATGTTTATCTGCAGTACTATTAAGTGTCTGTGATGAGTTCTCTAGGCCATATTGTAATCAATACCCTTATGAATGTGAGTTTAATCTCCTCTCTATTGAGAAAGCTCTTATAAAAGTGTAGGTAAATATGTGATACTTGGTGATAACAAACTATTCCATTCGACTAGAGATAGAGGAGGGGTGATGAAACATGACTAAGATGAAGTTTATGTTTGGATTATGAAGCACCCTTTTATACTAGTCCAGTGATAATGGGTTTTGTTTTGCAAGTGAAACAGAAGCCATTTGATTGACTGTATTCTCTGCAAGGATGAAAGTACTCTTTTAGGAAGGATGATTGGGATTAGTGTGGAATCAGAGAGATCACTATAATGTTATTATTACAGTATTCGAGGTTGCTTTCTCCCGTAGTAAAATATACGTGTTTGACTTGTGCCTTGGAATAAAGCAATGTTCCATTTGTGTCATGTGCTCAGTATTCTCTGTCCTCTTCTATTCTAATGTCATTTGGAAATGCTAGCCTGTACAACCTAAATTACTTTCAAAACTTGCTAATTTACATAACCTGGAACCTGAAAATCACTCACAGAGATGGATGATAATGAAGGTAATGGTGCCCAATGGATAAAAGATGCAACTGGGGATAATTAGGAAAGATGAAGTGAGTTGGGCCTCCCCGGTGGCGCAGCGGTTGAGCGCTGGGTTGCGAATCTGCCCGCGGCCTCTGCAGCGCCGGTTCGATCCCCAGCTGCTCCCCGGCCACAAGAGGAGGGTCCCACATGGCGCGCAGACCTCTCCTGCCGCCCGCTGCTCCCCTCAGCAGTGTACTTCGGTCCTTCTGCCTGCTCTGCTCCCCGCTCTGGCTCTGGTGAATTCTCTCACCCTCCCGTGCTTCTGGCTGTACCCAGTGCATGTGTAAACAAAACAAACAAACAAACAAATAAATAAACATGCCTCTATAAAATAAAATAAAAAAAAAAAAAAAAAAGATGAAGTGAGTTAACTTGATGGTTTATTGTATTCACACATGTGGAAGAGTCCAGGTGGGAGTTTCTTGTTTGGCACAGGTGGATTATTGTTCTTTAAACTAAGATATTAACAGTAAAAGGAATAGTCTTGGGGTGAAAGCTAAGTTCAGTCTTGAATATACCACATTTGTGAATTCTGTGGAAAAGTTATAGTTAGGGAAGGTGTGAGGATTGGAATAGCGAAAGCGATGGAGGGGACTGAAATGACTGAGAATTTGTATGTCATAAGAAAAGAGAACTTTGATGAGTAAATTGTGGATTAAATTAGCAATGGAATGGGAGGTGGTAAAGAGGGCGTAATGAAAGAGTTAATCAGAGGACTGACTAGAAAGTGAAGAAAGGGAGTCGTATATCAGATATCATGAGAAAGGGAGTCATATATCAGATGCTATAGACATACAGAATAAAATCTTCAGAATTCATCAGTTAGTACTTTTCAGTTAAATAGTTTGGTCTGAAGAATGATTGAAGTGAGTTGAGGAAAAAGTGAGAAGTTAGAATGTATTTTAGACAAATCTTAATCAAAGCCAACTTTAAATTGAAAATAATAGAGAGGCCTCCCCTGGTGGCAAGGTTCAGTATGAGTGCAGCGCTGTGACGCTGTCTGCCCCCTCTGCAGCACCGGTTTGGTCCTGGCCAGCCAGCAAGGATCCCACATGGCGCAGCAGACCTCTCCTGTCTCTCCCACTGCTCCCCTCAGCAGTGTATTTTGTCAGTCTGCCTGTTCTGTTCCCCCCTGTGTCTGGTGAATCCTCTCACCCTCCCGTGCATCTGGCCTGTATCCCGGTTCTTGTATAAATTAATAAATAAATCTTTAAAGAAAAAAAGAAAATAATAGAGATGGTAGAATGAAGATTAGATTTCAGTTAAGCGAAACATATCTTACTCATTGGTGTATCCAAAGTATAGAGGACATGGTATGTGTGTTTGTCTGTACTGTAGAGATAGAACAAACAATTGCCTAGGAAATTTAGAGTAAGGGGTACATTTGGACTGGCCTGTGAAGATGGGAAGCCATCAGGAAGCAAAAACAGTTCTAAGACCTGCCACTCTTCATACTTCACTCAAAGTATCATGGTTTTCTTTGTGTCAGCTCCATTATTTTTTTTGTCAGCCTCTTATTTTTCATCACCTAATTCCTAGAGGAACTAACTTGATTGACTTGGTAAAATACCATTATCTCCTATGGATCAAGTCAGGTTTTCTCACGAACCTTGACTCAGAATTGTGGATTGGCTTATTTTACTCTTATTCCAGTGCAGAAGAGGATTTATACAAAAACCAGGATGTATACATTTTAGTGCCCTGTACAATAGATCTTTACAAAGTCTGCAACAAAGCTCTGATTAGATTCAGTGAATTCTAAAGCATTTTACTTTATACATTCTCAAGTTCTTAGAGCATTTACTGTTTGCTCTCTTGGGAAAATATTTGCTCTCCTGGGAAAATATTTACAAATGAGCTGTGCAGCAAACATAGTTTTTTCCGCATCGTAATGTTTCATAAAAATATATACATATGAAAACACACACACATATATATAAAATACAGCAATGTTTTTAGATATAATTACATTTGTAGATATATATAGTACACATACATACATACATACATACACAAACAAACATTTATATACTTATGTGTAAGAATTGACCAAGTAGACAGACAACCTTGGCTCATTTCATATGAGCTTAAACTTGATAAAAGTCCAATTGTCACTGATATCTAAGCAGTAAATTATGTAAGGGCCTAAGTTTTTATTGCTAAATGTCATGTGTTTCATTTTCCTATATTGTGCTATTTCATGAGAATTTAAGTAGGTGAGGAAAAGACAGTGGAGTGCATTAATCTTTGTGACACTGCTTACAACCCCTGGTTATCTATTTTGAAGTAATTACCACTCCTAAATGTTCTGTCTTGAAGTCATTTTTATGAAGTAAAATTAATTCATCACCTATTCTACTCTGAATATTATCATGGAGGTTAAAATGTTCATTCTTGGGAAATTCTTACTGATTAAGTAAGTTTATTTGAGGAAATGAATTACCATCTAAAATGTAATTATTTCTTTCTAAAGAATTTGGTAATTGCTGTCCTTCAATGTTATATTTTCACTTCTATTGCATAGCTCAAGTTAGCAGACTTGCATTCTTATGTGAAGTACCAGCATAAATAAGAATATGTTATAGTCAGACTAAATAGAGCAACCAGTGATTAAAAAAAAAAGAAGCAGCAATGATTACAACAGAATAATAATTAGATGGCAGGATGGCAAAGGAGCAGTGGTAGAAGGGGAAATAATTTCTGAGTGTCACTGATTAGAAAATAAATAAATGAAGTAGGAATAGCATTCAGAAATTTAGAATCTAAGAATATAAAGTTGAAGCTGGTATGTTCTTTCACAGTAGGCTACTGTGAAAATAAGAACTGCTGTGGGTAATATTTGGCCAAAGACACTGGGGTGCTTCCTGAAACTCAGGAAATGCTTTACGTGGGCATAAAATATTAAAATTAAAAGGAAGGCAGGGAAAAAGAGGGAAGGGCATGGCATAGAATAATCATGGGTTTAGTCATGCAAACATACAATTGATTGTAACTGAGAAATAACTGCCTCATTATTGACTCCCCCGAGCTATGTTTTAGGTATTAGATGACATTTCTAAACTGTTTCAACATTTTTAAAAAATGTTTTGTGTTTCTGTGTTTTATGTTTCAGCTATGAAGATGGTCAAGTGGGAGATGCAAATATTAACACACAAGAAGGAGGCATTCACAAAGAGATCCTTCGAGTAATTGGTAATCAAACTGCTACTGGTTAAAGGACCACCATTTAATTAACATGATTTGAAAGACTTCCTCGGGTTCAAAGCTGGATTTTGAACTGAAGAAGATGATAAAATAATTTATTGTTATTATAAACAAAATTAACCCTTTGAATACTGATTTTTTTCTTAGTATTTCTAAGTATCTCATTAAATACCTAAGATGGTATAAAATTTATCAACTGTAGGGTTATGGACTCTAGTAATAAAATTACAACAGCACTTAAACTGAAGTTTGGGTTGCTCACACAATAAACAGATTGAAAAAACAGTTTTGTGCTGATATTTTTATATTAAACTATTTAATTGGACATTTGGTATTATATACCGACATTTTAGAGTACCAAAATAGAATTGAGAACATTTTATAATGGCATCTAAATCTATAAGACATTTTGCAATAAGTATGTTTGCACATTCTATGATGTGCTATGCTAATTAGAGGTATAAACATTGAATGTTTTGGGGGAGGGATGTTTCCTATTCTCCTGTTATTTTTCCTTATACAAAAGCAATTAGGTCTTAGATACAATGCTTTGCCCAAACATATTTAATATACGTATCTATAGATTCATGCATCAAAATGCGTGATTGTGCATATATGTGTGTATGTACACATATATGTATTTTGACAAGAGAGACAGAGCAGCTCCACTATTCTATTCTCATTCAATGAAAGGAAAATAGTATTTTAGTAAGCAGTGAATCTAAACATAAACCCAAGATATGAGCCAAATTACCGCCATTCACTGAAAATACTTGCAAACAGTTTTTCTATTTGTTTAAAGAATTTTCCCCATCAGTAAAAATTCAACTCTTTCGTAATGTTATCTTCAAGTCATAATTTGGGGAGCATAGATGCACCTGGGGGAATAAATCTATATTCAAATGATCGTATGTTTTAAAAGAAAGGCCTCAAAATGTAAACAGTATCTATTTTTTATTTCTTAAAATGGAGCATTTTTTAAATTTATTTATACCACACCAGCATTTTTATATTTTTTCATCTAATACCTCTGCTTATTTTTTTCATATTGAGAAAGAAGACAAATTTTGAGGTTTCTTTTATATTAAAAGAACACAAATAAGTTTATAGAAAACAATAGCACCAACTCTCAGCGTTCGCCTTTCAAGAGTCACGTGCTCAGCAGAATCATTTCTATTTCTTTGGGTCCTAACGTTCTCCTTATGCATTACAAGTTTTAATGACAGTGTTTGTTTTCCTCCATAATGTCTTTGGAATAAGGCCATTCATGAAAGCAGTTTAATTAGCGAGTCTGCCACTCTATTCAAACCCTGAATCAAGGCTCATATCAGATTCTAATTTGTTTAGGAAGAAAACAATAAAAATGCATAGTCATTTGCAAGTATGATGTTATAACTTTTGTGTTTATTTCCTTTGACATAAAAGGTGAGAAAAAAGGACATACACACTGTTAAGGGTTGCTATTTAGGACGTATTTACTAATCATTTGTTTTCTTACAATGTAAATAATTGATAAACCACTTAGTTTTGCAAAAATAGATGTGAAGTGGCTGGGATATTAATCATTGTAATAGGATCCACTTAAAACATTGATCTGTTTTGACTTGTGCCTCGGAACTCAAAGTCAGATTGAGTGATAACGTTAGTATGGTAGGGCCAAGATACAGTATTTATTTACTTTTCTGTAACCAGGTATTTGAATATGTGGGAAAGGAAGACTACGTGCTTTTTTCTGCTAACACTCCCTAGTCTCCCAAGTCACTTTGACTGTGTTTGAAAACATTTTTAAGCAACAAAATTATTTTTTCAAATTAATTTTGTGCAACATTCTATATATAACATAAATATGAAGCTGTAATTACACGATTTGGGAGTTCAGGTCTTGAAACCCCTCCTGTTTGGCCAGTGAGGCAACTTCAAAAACTCTTTATAGTGCCTCCAAGCATAATTTAAAAACCTAACCCACCAAGGCTTTACTTAACTTTTGAGTGTAAGGAGTGTGGTATTAGAATCTGAACTGGAAGACTAATTTGGAGGACTCAAGGAAGATGGTTTAGGGGAGAAAAACTGTCATAATATAAACCTCTATAACTAACTTAAAAGATTCACCATTAGAGCAAGGAAAGTAGTTGATAGTTTTAATGTCTAATAAATATCACAAAGCAAAAGACTGTTTATCATAATAAAATAAAATGTCTTTTAATGATAATTAATCGGATGCTATTCCAATGAAGAAGGAAAGACTTTAGGTTTGTTTAAAAAATTGTGTCAGATCCATAGTCATCAAATATTCTAATTAGAGCCAATCTTTTAATCAAACTTTTGATATTGGGAATGCTATAGTAGATTGCTACTTATCTTTATTTCTTAAGACTCTGATTTCAGGACATAAATTTATTTCAGGAAATAAATAAATAGCATATTTCCAAAATCCAAGCAGATCCTTAAAAATTAGAATTTTAAACATTATTATCATGCCTTGATTCAGTCAGCCTATTAAGATATATTAACTATGCTTGTTTGATGATTCTAACCATGACATTGTATTGTATTTATATAATCATTTAAGTCTGTTCGCTGATGCTTTGTAATATTTATATTAATTGTATACCATTGCTATTTAATATTAACTCACTAAACAAAAGCAATCATTTTCATACGTGAGTTAGGGGGGAAAGAACCTTTATTAATTCCACTTATTGCAGCATTACTGACTTTGTAAACATTTCATTATGAATAATTTGTCCTACCATATAAAAAAGGAAAAATGATTGAACGTTCAAAAGGATAAAAAAGTACATATACATATAACCTGATGTTATAGAATGCATGTTGTTTATCCAATCACAGTCAAATGTTGGATTTGAAGGTGGTTTTTAAATTTAAAATGCCACATCCTTAAACTTTTATCAAATACTATGTGGTATGAGAAACCAACACAAACTATTGTTAATGCTCTAAATATTTCTTTGAAAAACTTAAGAATTTAGAAAAGAATAAATTCCTAATTTATTCTTTCCTTTGCTAAAAAAAATTTCTTTAATATGTACGTATGTAAATCTTTAATATCACTGAAAGAATTTTAGCAGTACTTTATACCATAATACCATAACTTGCCTTAGGGCATGGGGCTTCAGAAAGTTTCAAGGAAAAACTCATCATCCTTATTAAAGTCTGGATGACTTCATCACATAGTAATTTGATATGTCATGAAGGATGACTCAATTTTGGATCATTTACCATCTAAATAAGTATGGATTTCAAGGTGGCACTTGAAGCACATTTTAAAAATACTATGATGTTATTCAATTGTCCTGCTGAATTCTTCATTGTAACACTACCTCAAGAAAATAAGAAACTGTTTATGTAAGTTGGGTTTCCAGTGTAAGGAGCAAATACATTTTATAAATAGAAGTCATCAAATAATTCAACAGTCAAGACTGTGCTGAATATAGATATTTCAATCACTGTGAAGAATGACATGGCTAATACCCAATGGATTTTGTGAAGGGGATTTAAATTGCAAAAATTTGAAAATAATCAGTTTTTCTTTAAGACTGGTTTTCTACATGGACCAAAGTTCTGTCCATTTACTTAAAGTCAAAACAATTGCCCACTCTAAACAGTTAAAGGATTAAAATGCCCAACTACCTTGCCAGAATGGCAGAATGAATTGTCAAGTATTTTGGCATTTAATGCCTGCTAAATTTTTTGTCATATTATATATAGATTTGGTGTATATTATTACCCAGCAAATTTTTCTTGAGCATTTTGTATACACTATGATATATTAAGGTAAGTTTTTGTAGGTCAAAAGAAATTCAAGTAGTTTTTAGACAAAACATATCCATGAGTGTGAAAAAGCTGTATTGAAGAATAGATTACAGTACACATTTGCCAGCAAGTCAGTAAAAAATAGTGCTTATTTACATAGTCAACATAATTTAATGTTCTAAAAATAATTTCTTCAATCTGCCCAATATTTAATGTATCATTTGAGATTTTAAAAATGCAGCCTCTCCTTTATGTAAACATTAAGATATGCCTATGTTTCTTTAACTATACAGCCTTCTTTACAATAAATTTCTTGACTTTTGTGCACAAAATAGTATTGCAACCTGCTATTTAGCCTTTGGTGCCTTAGAGTTATTATAAATATTTAACACTATGTACATAATGTAAATACTGCCAAAAAATCACTAAGGCCAAATATTTTCTCTATTCACTTTTTATTGCATTTGCTTTCTATTGCTACTTAAGCCTCTTTTATCCAGCTTTGTAATAGTTCTAACATTGTAGCCAATGTAAATGTTTACTTTCAATAAATCTGAATTTGTTCAACAAGTACGGTATATGGGCACTATTTTGAAAACTGGGTGAGGCCTTTGATATTCATGATAAATCTTGCTTCTGGGGACTAGATACTTGAAATTCTCAACAAACTCTAAAAATGATGTTGTCTTTTTCACTTATAAGTGAAATCCAACTTTTGCTTTTAAAATAAGAGGGGATAAAATATTCTTGCAGTGTTCCCCAAATAGTTGCAATAGACTTAATTGATTGTGTGAGTGCCATTTTAATTTGAAATTCTGTCAAGAAATATAAGGTTGAAAAAAGATTTTTGTCATTTTGTATGTATGCTCTTTTCATAAACTCCTAGACATAATATCAAAAAGAGCATTTCAAATGAATCTGAATTTTCTATTTCCGACTTGATGAGTATTTGGAAAATGGTTTTAGAAAATCACTTTTTACAAAATACATCTCACTGAGTAAGACATTAGTCTATAAATAAATTCGGTTCTGTAAACACATTAATAGTAAATATTTATGAGGAGCTAAGTTAATATTCTCATAATAAATAACGCTTAGCAAACTTCCATTTATTAGACTTGATTTCAGTTACTCCAGAAATACTTGTTAAGAATCTAGTCTACATCTTGACAGTCAGTATAAGAAACACAGAGTGTTAGATTTTATGGTGACTTTATGGAGTTTTCGATTTAGTTGGGAAAAGAAAGAAAACACATTTGAAAATAATTCATGCATAGCAGGCCAGTGATGCCAGATGGAAAAGACCATAAGTGCAAGCGAGGCTTAGGGAAGGAACAGGCATCTATGTCGTAACAATATGGGTTATCCCGTGTAGGGTCCTTGGCGTTAACAGGACCTCCTGTTGATCTCCAACCTTAGGACAAGTTCTTTAAAACAAGGATGGAAGGAAAATTGACATCTGAAAGAAAGTCGGCTTACAGATACAGGATCCTGAAAGAACCTGTAAAATC